CACCCAACACTTCTGAACCAACTGGAAGCACAAATATAACAATGTGCGGTGCTACAAATGATTGAAAGTATAAATGTTTTTTGTTGGCCCTGTGATGGACTTGCGACCTGTCCAGGGTGTACCTCACCCCTCACCCTGTGACTGCTGGATATGGGCACCAGTGACCCACGCAACCCTGAAAAGGAAGAAGCGTGTACAGAAAATGGATGGATGAATGGATGGGTGGATAAATGTTTTTTATGATATTTTAGAAAGATGTGGACATTTAAAAGCAGGATTCTGTGGAAACCTTGAAACAATTATTATCTCACACTGATAATCTGAGTGAACGTGAGTCGAAAGTGGATTTTATCCTCTTAAAAACTCCATTTTCAAAAACTGTGTAGCTCCATTGTTTAAACTTCACATTTATACTGACAGAAATATTCTGACAACCCTGCTGATTATGATACCAGGCTGCATTCGAAGGGCTACTTTTCACTACTGCTGCTGCCATTTGCACTTGTAAAATATTAAAGATTGTTATTTAATAACCACTCAATGAAATGTTATAGGAAGCATAAAGGTCTACAAATATAGTTTGCATTAAGTGCTATGAAATTTTAGAAATTGGAGTTGTTTAAGAATGGCAGGCCATTTTCAGTCTGCACTCAAACTCGCCATTAGCTGATCAACATTCTCCAAACAGCTCATTGAAGGTACTAATTAAAAACAATATGTTCTAAGTTCTCCACAAAACCACACTTCAAATGGCTAAATGTTCCTTTAATCCCCAGAACTACAGCATTACTGAACAGAAAGAGTCCACAGTGTGTTGTTAGAGACCTGACTGTCTCACGCAATGTTTCAAATGCCAGACTATCAAGAATCAAAATCTCCAGGAAAAAGATATTACTGCTAAAAATGGACTCTTTTTTTCCTGACTGTGTTCATACAACATGTGACAGTAGGAGCGTGTGTGTGCACGTGTGTGTGTGTGTGTGTGTGTTCGCGCCACTGACCCATGGAGCAGAGTATCAGTGGGGGTGAAAGCATGTGACACATGAATGTTCAGCCTGACGAGACGTCACTCTTTCACACAGGACATAAAAACAGGAACCTGTAGTTTATGATGGCAAAACCCAACAGACCCTCTGACCAGAAAACGCACACAGCTGCTGAAACACAACAGAGCCCATTAAACATCCACCGCAGACATCAGTTTTGTGCAAAAAAAAAAAAAAATCAAAGTTGAGTGAGTGATAAAAGGAGACTAAATCTCAGACGAGTTTTTTCCATAAATGTGTCACAACTGCTCATCCTCTCACACAGATCTCTGTGTCAAACAGCTGATTGAGTTATGAACAGGACGGGATCATCTTTAACCAGTTTAGGCAAGTTTGTACTTCGCAAACAGGCTTAGAAAGCTAGGATTTCAGTCATGTGTTACTTGTTAAAAAATACATGAAACTACAAGTGTTTCAGTTCTTTCTACTTTGTTTTGGTCTCGTCTGCCAGCTAACTAATATGTGTGATAAAAATGTGACTGTCGGGACATTTACTGTAGCTAAAAATATGAAAATCGAAGGAAGGAAGGCGGTTGTAGCCATTTTTGGAGCAGGTTTATCAGTGAGATGCAGCTGTTTCACACCACATAAGTGATCTGATCATGGCTGAAGCTTTGTTTTAAAAATATTTCAGACATCTTGAATGACACCAAACTACACTGGAAGTGCTACAGCTCGCTGCCGCTGGTGTTATTTACATTTGCAAATAATCCTATGATTATAAGAACTGTGCAATGTGAAACTGACAGTGGGTGTGCAGGTCTATGAAATAGCATTTGCATGAATCACTATGAAGTTTGTAGCTGTTTCAAACTGCAGCAATTCACTTTTGTCTTAGCTATAATCGGACTAGCCATTAGCTCATCAGTCTGTTGAACAAACTCTCTACATTGTAAATGTTGTGTACAGCAAGTAAGATACTCATTTGTTGTAACGTTTCCACACTTAAAATGTAAACTACCCCTTTAACACATAATTACTTGATGTAAGTGAAATGGCAGAGTGCAGCAAGTTTTTATCCTTAACGGTTAATTGTCTGAAAGATAGTAGGGTTACTGATTCTTTACCGTTTTAAAATATAAAGTAGGATCTTCATGAATCAAACATATCCACAAACCCATAACTGCTCAACTGAAATCAGATCTGGAGAACACAGAGGCCAAACTCAAGACTTCAGTGTTTGGTTTTAATCATCAAACCACTCCTGAATCATTTCTGTAGCGAGGCMGTGTTTATTAAAGAATGCACTCCCATCTGAGTATAACGTTTCTGTGAAGGGAAGCAGTCGATCAGCAACAGCTTTGAGGTACAGTGGTACATAACATCCCCACAAATGACACGGACCGTAAAATAATATCAAAGACAACAAAAGGCCACAGCAAAACAATGAGAAACACTGACTCGAGCACACAGCTGTCTTGCAAACCAAACGTAAAGCGAAGCAGCAATCGTCACCGCTGAGTCGTCCGCTTTATTTTTTGACAGGATAAGTATTAAAAATGTGACACACAAACCGGCTTCATC